CCCACCGCGCCAATTTTGGGACACCCCTCGAACGCTTCGTGGCCCAATAGGGAGCTTCACAAAAGGCCCACATGCCAGCGCTCGCATGCGCCCACCGCGCTCATGTTGGCACACCCCTCACACGTTCCGTGGCCCCATGGGCAGCGCTCGCATGCGCCCACCGCGCCCATTTTGGCACGGACCCATCTTGGCACACTCCTCACACGTTGTGGCCCCGTAGGAATCCCCACCGAAGGCCCAGATGCCAGCGCTCGCATGTGTCCACCGCGCGCATTTCGGGACACACCCTCACACGCTTCGTCGCCCCATAGGGAGCTCCACCGCCCACCGCGCCAATTTTGGGACACCCCTCGAACGCTTCGTGGCCCCATAGGGAGCTTCACAAAAGGCCCACATGCCAGCGCTCGCATGCGCCCACCGCGCTCATGTTGGCACACCCCTCACACGTTCCGTGGCCCCATGGGCAGCGCTCGCATGCGCCCACCGCGCCCATTTTGGCACGGACCCATCTTGGCACACTCCTCACACGTTGTGGCCCCGTAGGAATCCCCACCGAAGGCCCAGATGCCAGCGCTCGCATGTGTCCACCGCGCGCATTTCGGGACACACCCTCACACGCTTCGTCGCCCCACCGCACCAATCCTGGAATACCCCTCGCACGTTTTGTGACCCCACAGGGAGCTCCACCGAAGGCCCACATGCCAGCGCTCCCATGCGCCCACCACACCCACCTTGGCGCACCTTTCGCACGCCTCGTGGCCCCAGAGGGAGCTCCACCGCATGCGGTGCAGACAACGACGGTGCCCACGACTGCAGGTGGTTGGGTCTTTCGCCAGGCCAGCTCGTGTGAGGGCGAGCGCCGCGCGCACAGCGACTTGGCCCCCGCCAGATCGAGCGCGCGCGCGCGCGGAGCACCAGCAGGAGGGCCCCCCCCCCGCGGCGGCAGCTCGCGGGCCCAGCCCGGACACGGCCGCTCCGCATGCTCCCACCACCGCTGCGCCGAGCAGCAGCGTGTACTGCATGCTGCCCGTGCAGGCCCTCGGAAGGGATTCTGCCACACGGCTTGCACCACATAGTCTGCATCGCATGGCTTCCCCAGATCCCCGTTCAGATGTATTCTGTACATATGCATATGCGTATAGATATTTCTTGATCCAGGGGGTGCGGACCACCCCCCACCCCCCCTGAAACGGGATCCCCGGCGTCCGGTGCTCCTGGACGCCCCTTCAGAGGGTTCCGCGAGATGTCTGGACCTGTGGAAGTCCATGCCAAGCTGTGGACACGGGTCGGTGGCGGTGTCAAGAGACCCCCAAGAAGGTCCAAGATGGTTTCCAGCGGCCCCGGACCCCCGCCAGACGCCCGAAGACAACCCAAATATCACCCCAAGAGGCTTTCGAAACTCAGAGAAATTGATTATCTGGTTAGTTTTTGTGTGATTTTGGGCTATTCGCTTATTCGATCTTCGGGGCGTCCGAGAACGCCCGAGAGGCACCGAAAACTGTTCCAAGACGACAAACAAATGTTTCTTCACACTCCAATGGAACCGCAAGACGGCCCAACAGGGGTCAGAAACTACTCTCGGGTTGCTTGGCGCCTTCGAGCACGTATTGGGGACCTCTTGGGGCTCCTTTGGGGCCGTCTTGGGACCCTCTTGAGCCGCCGTGGGGCCATCTTGGGTCGTCTCGTGTGTGTTTCGGGGCTGTGCTGGGGCCATCTTGGGCCGTCGTGGGGTGATCGCCGTGCCTTGAGGCCCTCCGGGTGGCTTTCGGGCGGCCTGTGGCAGCCGGGGATCTCCAGGGCGCCCCCCCCCCGGCGGCGCCTCTGGCGCCGCCCTTGGCGCGCTCCGCGCGCCCGGGGGGGCGGGGGGGTCCAGCGCAGATCCGAGAAATCCGCGCGGAGCGCCAAAAGCTTATGTTTAGGGCGTTTTTATTCTGCGATATCAGTGCCCTGAGTCATCACACATTTGCGCCTCGGGGTTCCAAGCCGGAGTTACACCGGACCGCATTTATCCCAGTTCGTTCGGGCGCCCAACCTTCCCGAGTCATCAGGGGTAACTACAGATTTGCGCCTCGGGGGCCCAAACCGGATTTACCCTGGACCGCAATTATCCCGGATAATTCGGGCGTCCAAGCTTATCTGTATGTCACGATGGCTGGGAATCTATATTTCGAGTCGATTGGTTTTGTTGGATTTTGCCTACGGCCTGGTGTCTGTACACACGTGTGCGCACATGCACGTGTGTTCTTATGCTAGCCACACCAGGCTTCTAATACCAGGTCTACGGGTACGATGGCCGAGGGCCCAGTGGCAACGTCGGAGCGAGGGGCAGTCGGACCCAGGGAGCATCGGACCGATTCGTCGGAATCGAATACGGACTCATGCATGCGAGCCAAATTGGTAATTGTATCAGTTGGATGTTGCCAACGTTATGGCCGCTGTTGTATGCATCTCGCGGATCTGCTTGATTCGGCCGCACGAGATCGAGAAAGCAGCTCGGGAGCGTCTGAAGGAGATGCTCAAGCTTCTTTCACGTGACTTCCACATAACATCGAGTTCAGCTCAAGCTTCTTACAACGTGGCTCTCTGTCGGGATTTGCCGACGGCCCCCAGGCTTGGGCCTCAGCAGTCGCCATTGCCTCGTTCGACGCCGGCGGCGTTGACGCAATGGCGTGGGTGGAGGCGCGGCCCACCTGAGACGATCGGGTAAAGAGCAGCGAAATGCAGCAGGGAAGGAAGCACACCTGAGGGCCGATGTGTGGACTAAGCGGCCCTGTCCTCCTCCCTGCAGCTCCTGGAGGAGGAGGAGGAGGAGGAGGAGGAGGAGGAGGAGGAGGAGGAGGAGGAGGGAGGAGGAGGGGAGGAGGAGGAGGAGGGGGAGGAGGAGGGAGGAGGAGGGAGGAGGAGGAGGAGGAGGAGGAGGGAGGAGGAGGAGGAGAAGGAGGAGGAGAAGGAGGAGGAGGAGGAGGAGGACGCCCCCCTCCAATTGGCTCAGAGGCTTGCCGCCCCTGGTCTGGGCTTGTCAGCGCGCCAGTGTTCCGATCCACGGATCGGGGAGACTCAGCCCTCAGCTCCGAGTGGATCTTTTCCAGCTTGGCGGCGGGTGTCTGGTCGGGTCGGACGGGGCGGTGGGTGCGGAAAGTTTTGGTCCTTGGCTTCGGCGGTTTGCTTGGGGCTTTGCGATGCCCAGAGGAGACCAGCGCCTGGCTTGGGGGCTGGGGCCCGTCACTAGTGATTTCCATTCGGCCCCAGTAGCAGAACTGTTTGCAATCGCCCGATCAGTCAAATTGGCAACTGGACCGATCGGCCGCGTCATAGATAACGGTGGAGTCGTAAGAGGTATCCGTTCTGAGCCCAGGGTTAAGCGCAGGAAGATTGTGATCATGTGGCGAGATGTTTGGGCATCGGTCGGTTTTCGGTTGATCTTTGTCCGCAAAACGTGGTCGCACCAGTCCCTGGAAGATGCCCAGAATTGGATTTGACCCAGTCCACTGACAATCGAATCGCCTGGCAATAAACAGGCGGATGAGGGAGCCAGGCTTGCCGAGGTTTCTTTCCATGCCAGCCGCTAGGTCCTACAGGCGGACCATGTGTGTTGCCACGTGCTGGGGTCCTCCTGGCGGTCTCCATATCCCTGGTCCAGCAAGCCCCAGCTCTGTATATATCGGCAGCCGAGGGCAACCGACAGGAGGAGGCAAAGGTATCCTTTGCTCGTACGCGCCAGGAAAAAAACAGAGGCTCATTCAGTTGAGGAGAAGACCCGAACTCCCTGGCGCTGACGCTGCACGGGATATGTTCACACCGATGGGGGTGAGAGGGAAGCTTTCTTTGGTTTCCCGCGCCAGAGCTGGAAGCCTCTAGAGGAGCGTGTTGGTGCCAGCTTTATGGAGGAACGGGAGTGCCGTCGGAAGGCAAGTTGCTCAAGTTTGGACGATCTTGCATTCGTGGCCTCACGCACCATGGGAGGATGGTGGTGCGGGCTTTGGAATTGGGCAAGCTTCCCCCCCTGATCGGAAGAGCTGGCCAGTTTAGTGGATTGAACCATCTCCTGTCGGGGCCTCAGGTTCTAGATGGCACCCCTGGTTCCCGAGGTAATACAATTTGGATGGAGATGGCCAGTCCCTTTTATTCTCCCGTTGGAACAATCTCCGCAGGCAGGCAAGAGGCAATGTGGAGGAGGAGGAGGAGGAGGAGCAGGAGGAGGAGGAGGAGGAGGAGGAGGAGGAGGAGGAGCAGAGGGGGGGGGAGGAGAAGGAGGAGGAGAGGAGGAGGAGGAGGAGGAGGAGGAGGAGCAGGAGGGGGGGGGAGGAGAAGGAGGAGGAGGGAGGAGGAGGAGGAGGAGAGGAGGGGAGGAGGAGGAAGGAGGAGGGGAGAGGAGGAGGAGGAGGAGGAGGAGGAGGACTAGGACAAGGAGCAGGAGGCAGGAGGAGGGGGGAGGAGGAGGGACGAGGAGGAGGAGGAGGAGGAGGAGGAGGAGGAGGAGGAGAGGGAAGAGGAAGAGGAGGAGGAGCAGGAGGAAGGGGAGGAGGAGCAGGAGGAAAAGGAGGAGGAGGAGGAGGAGGAGAAGGAAAAGGGGAGAGGGGGAGGAGGGGAGGGGAGAAAGAGGGAGCGGGATGGAAGAGGGGGAGAGGAGAAGCAGGAGGTCGTCTGTAGCAGGAGGTCGTCTGGAGGGCTGTCGGCATAGAGGCGCCAGTGGAGAGGCGGCCTCCCGCGGAGGCCGTGCGCGTCCTGTGCGCCAGCATCAGGCGCCACGAGCCGCCGGGGCTTCGGCGCCCCTTTATCGCGAAGGCTGTCGCCCAGGCCCGCCACCCCGTTTGGAGGAGGAGCAGAAGGAGGAGGAGGAAGAGAAGGAGGAGGAGGAGGAAGGAGGAGGAGGAGGAGGAGGAGGAAGGAGGAGGAGGAGGAGGAGGGAAGTATTTTCCCTCTACTGGCGAAGCCGGTGCCCCCCCAGGTCGCGGCGGCTTTCCAGCGTCTGGGTGCGTTCCAGCAGCTGCGCCTCGCCGAGGGCGTTCCGTTGGTCCCCGGATCGGCCCGAACGGCCGCCGAAGGCCCGAGATATGACCCCGAGAACCAGCAGGGACCAGCTCAGGCGGGAGGGCCAGGGTCGCGATTCTTCCCAGAGGAGGGCGAGCTGAGACGAGGGTCGTCGCCCAGGTTCGCCTCCCCGTGCAGAGGAGGGTGAGTTAAGACAGCGGGCGCTGCAAATCAGGAGAGAACAAACACACAGACACAAATAATCGCCGATGTCCACGTAAGTCTGGGAAAGTATGGGACCAGGGGAGAAAACGAAAATCCAGAAAATAGAAAATGAAAATCCAGAAAATATGAAACAAATGGAATCCTGGGATTTGTGTCTATTTCTTTGCGTGCTCTGGGGCCCCATCGGTAAATTGTGTCACACTCGGCGTTTTCGCCCGGGCTCGGGCCCCTGGGCATTCACAGATCGACCGGCTCGAGAAATGGAGCAGAAAGGGTGGGGTCCGGGGCTCCGGTCGTGGTTTCCCACGATGTTTCCATGATGGGCCGATCTTCCACCACCACTGCCATAGGTAGGAGAGAAGGGAGGAGGAGGAGGACGAGGAGGAGGAGGAGGAGCAGGAGGAGGAAGAGGAGGAGCAGGAGGAGGAAGAGGAGGAAGAGAGGAGGACCTCCCCGTCCTCTCTTCCCCCCCGTCCTGCCGATGGTAGCGGTGGTGACAAATCTGCCCATCACGACTTTTCGCAAGGTCTGTTCTCAGTTCAGAGGAGGGCGAGTTGAGACTACACCTTAGGCGATGATCAAGAAAACTTCAGTTTTCGGCCAGAGTCTCGATTATTCTTAACGTTTCAATGTAAATCTTCAGATTTTAATAGACATGTTAGGTTTTTATTCAAGTTCTGAGACTATGAATTTCTGAACCCATGATGTCTTAAGCATTTCGCAGGGTGTACTGTTGCTGTTCGGGGGTGCCCCTCGTCGCCACGGCTGGACGCAGCTCGGAGAGGTGGTGCGCTCTGGCCCGGGAGGGCTCCGGGCACCGACTTTGAGCCACCGCTGTCTCGGCTTGCCCTGCTCCAACCCGTGCGCAGGGCTCGTTCCGATACCTCCGGCTCGATTCGGTTCGATTCGACGGCCTCCGCTTCCGAGCATGTTCGACTTCGGATTCCGATTCGGATCCCGAGCTCTTCATAGTAGGCATACTGGCCTGCCGATTTCTGCCGATTCTACTTCCCCCGACTCGGCTGCCGATTCCCGCCGAACCGATTCATGTCGATCGCCGATCCGACTTCTGGTTGAGTCGGGCCTGTCCCTCTACAGGGGGAATATTCAAAAGTAATCAAAAAATAGTCTGGGGACTATTTTTTTACCATTTTCGAGCATTTTGGGGCATGTTTTGGGTATTTTTTATTGTTCGTCCAAAATCGGCCTGTAGGGGGACAAGCCCGGCTTCAACTTATCGGTTCCGTTCTGTGCTCTCCTGCCCGCGCGTTGGCGCTCGCGCCTGTGCGCCGAGGAGCGGGGTGCTCCCGACGGGGCCTCGCCTCCGAGTGGTCGGAGGAGTTGGCGCCCCTTCCCCGGCGGAGGGCGGCGGAAGTTGTCGGGGCTCGAGAGACGGGGGTCAATGCAAACGGGGGTCAGCCAGGGCAACAGATCTTGCAGGATCCTGCGAAGACCCCCTTTGGCTAACCCAGGTTAGCGAGCCGCTCGTGGCCGCGAGGCGGCCGCGCATATTGGTTGGCCCTGGTTTGCGAAGACCTGCGTTGCAGTTTTTTTGTCCTGCATTCCAGTTTTTTGGTTTCCTGCTGACCCGGGTCTGGACTGACCCGGGTCAGAAGATTCCCGAAGTTGGCGGACGCGAAGCGGGGGCGGCTCCACCAGCGGAAGCCGGCATAGGTAGAACAGGCGCCCCCCAGAGACCGAGTGCGTCGGAATTCGGGTTCGCCGGCACTTTTTGGCGCTCGCGCCACGGATTCTGACGGTCCAGGTTTCGTGGGATGTCTGCAGCGCGAGCTCGCGTCAGATTTCCGACTGGACCTCAGCATTTTCAAGACGGTCCTGTCAGGCCAACCCGAGTCCACCGAACCCGAGTCTTACGTCTGCCCGACTGTCTCGTGGAGGGATGTCTGCAGGCATGCCGCGGCGCATCGCACTCTGCCTTGAGGGTGGTTCGGGGCGCCGGGGGGTACGGGGAGGGCCCGCCCACGGGGACCCAAGATGCGGGTGGTACAGGCATCGTTCCTCCTTCTCCTCCTCCTCCTCCTCCTCCTCCTTCTCCTCCTCCCTCCTCCTCCTCCTCCTCCTCCTCCTCCTCCTCCTCCTCCTCCTCCTCCTCCTCCTCTTACTCCTCCTCCTCCTCCTCCTTCTCCTCCTCTTACTCCTCTCCTCCTCCTCCTCCTCCTCCTCCTCTCCTCTCTCCTCCTCGCTCCTCCCTCCTCGCTCCTCCCTCCTCCTCCTCCTCCTCCTCCTCCTCCCCTCCTTCTGCTTCCTCCTCCTTCTGCTCCTCCTCCTCCTCCTCCCTCCTGCTCCTCCTCCTCCTCCCTCTCTATCCTCTCCCCTCCTCGTCCTCCTCCTCCTCCTCTCTCCTCCTCCTGCTCCTGCTCCCTGCTCCTCCTCCTCCTCCTCCTCCCTCCTCCCTCCTCCCTCCTCCCTCCTTCTCCCTCCTCCCTCCTCCTCAAGCATCTGGGCCCGAGAGGTTTGCAGGGGAGCAGATCCAACGGGCCCACTGTTGCGCGCGCACCGCGCGTCCGCCCCCAGCGCCCAGCGGCAGGTGGCGAGGCGCGCTCGCGGCTTGAGGGGCACACCGGCCAGGTGTGGCAGAAGTCGCAGCAGAACGACGACGGCTACGACACGTACATGGGAGGAGCACGCCCGCCCTGGAAAGAAGGAGGTCGAGCAGCCAGCAGAGCTCGATCGCACTCACGGTCGAAGAAAGAATACCAGGGCGGGAAGAGGAGGCCTTTTGTTGTGTGCAGCACTTGCTTTCCTGTTGGCAGCAGTTGGATTTATTGTGACCGTATCGCTGACAAGGCCAAGTGCGCTAAGTGTGGCACCATGTGGTCAAGCATATCGACGGAGACAGCCCAGCCAGATCCACAGACCCTGGCTCAGGTCGCCCTCCTCGCAGATCAATACAAGGCGGCCAAGGACGCCAACAACAAAGAGCAGATGGAGTTGCTGGAGCGTGCATGCCCTCAGTTACGAATGCCTGAGCCAGCGCCGCCACCAGCACCCAAGCCGTTCGAGGAATTGGAAATGGCAGCCCAGGCGTTCCGTATGGTCACGACGGCGGGCGAGAAGCTACGCAGGCGACTCTTACGCAATGCGGAAGAACAAAAAGACATCCTGGAAAAGCTGGCTGACAACAAAATCGCCGAGAAAGAAGCTCAGCAACAAGTGGCTTGTGTCGAGAGAAGGCGAACAGAGGACAACCACCTTCAGCTGCGACAGTCCCTGATGATGCAGTTGCTCCAGAGCTCAGTAGTGAAGAACTGGCTTTCCTGGGTGAAGCAGAAAAGAAAGAGTGCGAGGCAGCAAAGGAAGCGGCCGTGGCAGCGCAGAAGACCTTGGAAGCGGCAAAGGGAGCCACCCAGGCCCGCAAGGAGGCCGCTGAGAACCTCCGCAAGTTCGCAGACAAGGCTCAAGAGTGCAAGAGGCGCCGTGGCAATGGAGGACAACCATCAGTGGGGGGCACCCAGGCCAAAGATGAAGTCCAAGAAGAGCCAGCCCCAGAACAGGCCAAGCCATACGACTTCACGAACCCAGAGGACGTGGACAGGTACCTGGAGACCACAGTACGCATTCGGGAGAGGAGCAAGACGGTCGTGGCGGCAAAGACGGAGCCTAAGACGTGTTCCTAGCATTCGGCGTAAGGTCACTTTCCAGGACCCCATCAGTGATGAGCAGGACCCGGTTTTGCACGACGACCAGCAGTACTCACATGTATTCGTGGCGAATATCTCGCAGTACAATGCGTTAGTTCGGGATTTTATATTGGGTTCGAAATACGACGTGGTGGGCCTAGTGGAACACCACCTCCAGAGGACGAGCGCAGCCAGCGAGGCCCAGCGGCTTCAAGCAGACGGCTGGCACTCACAGTACACATGGACAGCAGCAAGAAAGACTGGGCGATCAGCAAACGGCACTCATGGGGGAGTGTGTTGGCTACGTCGCTCGCACCTCCAGACTGCAGTGCACCTACCCACCGTCAAGGGGAGCAGCGCCTTCGAGAAGGAGCTGAATGACATCGCGGTGGTACACTGGGATTTGAAGGGAGGCATACGTATCACACTCTTCGTGGTATACCTCGACAGTGGACCAGGCCTGACAGGGCCCAATGCAGCGAAGACGAAGCAGCTGACACAGTTGACGGCCAGTATCTCTACACCGTGGATGGCAGTGGGTGATTGGAATGTTACCCCAGACGAGCTCATGCAGTCCACTTGGGCGAAGAAGCTCAAAGTTACCCCAGTATGCCCGAACGTCGATGCCACGTGTACCAGCGGCAGAGGACGCATGTTAGATTATGTGATTTGCCCACCAATTTTCAGGCCTTTCCTGGGTGGAGTCATGGCGGTAACAAAAGTACCGTGGAGACCGCATGTTGGTTTGCACATCCGCATCGCTAGGAAGCCAGCCAAGTTACAGATCTTGGCTCCTGTGAGGGCAGAACAGCACAAAGTACCATACATCACGGTGCACGTCGAGAAAGGCACCAAGAGGAAACAACGAGACCGAGAGCAGCATGCAAAGCTTACGGAGCACTTGCCAGAGTTGGACGACATAATCTACGACACAGACCTGTC